CAACCCCTCGTTGTCTCGAGATCTCGCCACGGAGATGCGCCAATTATCGGACAATGAGATATAACTCAGAACCGTCTTTTCGCCCAAATCTTTGACCTTACCCTCGCTCCTTTCGAGTTTCTGCGGTTGGCATTTATCGGCCGGCATTCGACGGAGAGGCCTCTCGATTTCTCCTTCTCGATCGATCCTATATAATACAGATCTGTTTCTTTCTTTCTTGGAGAATAAAATTTCGAGAATTTGTGCAAGTGTTGAACTGTGTTTCTAACGAGAGGGTAGTTTAAGGATTCGATTAATAATATTGTTAGAATAGATAATTTTCTGAAACGAATTTCATTCTTCGCTCTTCAGGAATTTCAGCGTGGATTAATATATCTACGTTGTTACCAAATTCTTGCTCTTGAAGAGTATGCTGATCAAAATTCCTGTCGCAGGATACCTGATTAACCCTTGGAGAGGGGTTAACCTGCGCAAGACCGATAAGGTTTATCGTTTGTTCGCAGTTTCGAGAAAGAAATATGAAAAAAGAAAGAAATGAAATATGTTATTTGTTACGTTAAATGCGACTTAATTAATAAACGAACTTTAAATTACGTAAGTGAAATAACTAAAGTGAATAAACAATGCAACAATAGATTTTCAAGTTAAATGAATCTATCTCGCTCGTTTAAAATCTTCCAATCGTTTATAATTTCGTTTATAAATTCGATACATTTTCTCGAATTGAAAAACAAGATTCAAATTATTGTAATTAATTTGATTAATCTAATTTGATCATTACCAATAATAATTCTTCATTCGTAATTTTTCACGTCAAAAAATTTTTTATTATTACATTGTATTGAATTTTAAATCTGTATAAGAGAAATTAGTTCGAATTCGATGCCAAAACAATAAGACAATTTTGATAAAATACTATTAACGTTGCATTCAACTTCAATCTTTCATCTGACTTACAAGCAAATGTTATTCAACGATAGATTTCCTCATCGATATTCGAATACTCTTTGCAGATCATTGATCGATAATAGTGAAAAATTACCAACGAAAGCGTCTACCTTAATAAATTCTACTTTATATTCCAAAAATTAAACCAAGCAAATCAACTTTAATCTCACTCCAGATCTCTCTCTTTTTCTCTCTCTCTAGAATTACGAAAAACCACCGTAAAAAACTACGTCCATAAACACCAAAAAACGAGCGAACACAACTCTCTGCGCGATCTCCCCGCGATTTTTCACGCACGCCTCCTTTCTCCTTTTTTTCCTTTCTTCCAAAAACGCGGACAACCGGGATTCGATTAGTCGACGCGGCAAACTGTGCAGGCCTATATCGAAAGGGGGGAGGGGGAAATCGAGGCAAGGCTCGATCGACGACGAATTTTCCGGGCCATCGATATTTCCTTTTTCCCGGGGCCGGCCGACGATCGATAAACCCAGCGTAAACGGTGACGGCCCAAGTTTTTCGCTACTCTGTCGATCCGAAAATCGCTACGACGCAGTCGATAATCCAACTTGGAACCGGTTGACAATGGCACCGTTCACGCTCGCCGTTTCTCAGCGACGCGTCAACAACGTTTTGCGTTTTTTCCCCGGGTGCCAATTAATCCCGAATCGACCGATTCCTCTTCCGATCCGGGGAACGAAAATTGTTTTTTTTTTTTTTTTTGTTCGCGGCCAGTACACGTATCCGCACGAGATACCGGCGATTTGTTTTTTATCCCTTGGAAAAAAAGGGTAGATGGAACTGCGATGAGAATGAATGAATTTCTTGTATATTTGTATCCGTGTTTCGAGTTAGTGAAGTGTCCATTTTATTTTTTTGGGGAGAAACGATAATGCTGATGTGAGTAGTGAGAATTTTTCTACGTTGATGATACAATTTAATGGTGGATGTCGGTATATATGAGAAAGAAATAAGAACGAAATAAGAACATCAGGTGGAAATTTAAAAAAAGAAAAAACTATATAACGAGTTTTTAATTTTACGTTAAAATTACTATTACGTTAAAGATACTTGCTGCGCGGGCCAGTCTGATCCGAGGCGTCTTGTACTACTTATTTTACTCGCATTTCGAGTTTCGTATAATTTTTGTTTCTCGAGAGAAGAGAATGATGTCCACTTATGCATATACATGATTAATACATAGTTGCGGCTAATTTTGAGTTTCAACGTAAATTTCCCTGATTGGCAGCGTGTGTCTCTTTGCTTTGGGATGTTTGAGGGTAACGTGATTGTTGCATAACTTCCTCCATCGAACCATTAAATTGTATCATCCACTGTTAAAGTTTTGATTGGAAAATTGTGCTCGAACGACTATTTAAAAAAAAAAAAGGAAAAAAATATCGTATCATCTTTTTTAAACTCTTTTTTAAAATTCTCATCGATCTTCTATCGAACTTTTAATTTAATGAAGAACGTCAAACGAAAAAATTTAATTTCTTTTTTTTTTTTTTTTTCCCCTTCAAAGAGTCTAGAATTCATTAGATATCATTGCGAATAAATGATTTCAGATCGACGAATATTATCGACGTTCCTCTTCTATCATTGAAATTCGTTCGCAGAACGATTTATTTTTCTCTCTCATTGCCACCTCCAATTTCATTTCGCGGTTCCAGGAATTATTAGAATTCGATATTCGCCGTGGTATAGAGAAATTTACATTTTTTTTCCCCTTCCTCACCTCCCTATATATATATATACTAATCGAGTTCGAGAAAATCGCCACAGCGGAGGAGGATGGCAATCGGTTTAATTTCATTTCCCTGGATCCGCAAGAAACGCTCTTCGAGCGTGATTCGATTATACGAGTTTTGGTATTTTTTATTTCATTTGCAACTCTGAAACGCGCGAGAGTGAACAGGGTTGAACGTTGGTTGGAAAAAGTTTTTTTTTTTTTTTTTTTTTTTTATTGAAAAAACAAACAGAAGGAAATCAAATAAAGCATTGTAATAACATCGTGAAATATTTACATTAAAAATTTCTTTATATTTTTTTTATCGAAAGTGTGAGATTTTTGTTTTTTTTTTTTTTCTGTCGAAGTTTCGAAAACGTAAATTTGGATTTTCCGAGATCAATAGGAATTAGTATTGGATAGAAGCTTGATTCGCTTTATTTTCTATCACTGTGCGATGGTTATAGGATACAGGAAGGATCCTTGAATCGGCGTGTTAATTTCTCGTCTGCGTAATTGACCCTTGAAACTGCGTACTCCGTAACGAATGTCAATGAGCTGCTTAGACTGTTGATTAGCTTCATTGTGCCTACATAAACCGGCAAAGTATCATAAACGTTATATTCCCGCCCGTGTTTCGCGCTTATTTTACGAAACATAACAGAAGAAACGGACAAAGAGATTCGTCGAGCGTCGACTCGTAAGCGAACACGAATAGATAGATCGCGTTTTCCATTGCGACAAACAAACGCGATAAAGTTTAAACGTGTTCAAATCACGATACTTTCTCCAATTCTCACTCCTTGGAGGAGATTAAAACGAATTTTACGACGCTTCGTTCTTCGTCTCTTTCCACGAGATTTCTTCTAAAAAAAGTTAATGAAATAACTCGCGTCGAGTTAAAAAAATAACACATATCTCTGTTTTAAACGATTATTTTGCAAACGAGTCGCATTTAGGTTAGGAACGATTCTTATTCAACGAACCATATATGGGTCAGGATCATCTTGACCCAGTGGTTTATGAATGGAAGGAAGGAAACATTTCGGGACACGAAAGATTCGATTCTTCTCCGCGTATCTTCGTTTCTCATTAACACGTTAAAACGTTCGTTCTATGAAAGAATTTTTAGATTCTCAATTCCTCTTCGATCTCATTTCTTCTTACCTTAGGAATCAGATCAGATCCGAATTTAATTCCATCCAAACCGGGTGATCAAATTCATATCCCTAATTTAATCTCGAAGAATTGACCATCCTTTCCTCGACTCGAGAATTCTGGAACGCGGTTCAAGTAAACAACGGTTCGAGTAAAAAGAGTGAGCAGATAACCTGGCAAGTTGAACGTTTGCGCGAAGTAAGAATTGAATCGAATGGAAAAATCGTGTGAACGGCGCGAGACAAAAGGGTTACACGAATATGGCGCGTATTTAAAACGGAAGTGTTACAGAGAGAGAGATAGAGAGAGAGAGAAAGGCGAGGAGTGCTTTTGTCGAGAACGGGGGGGGGGGGAGGGGATGGGTTCCGGCACATCGATCCCCCGGCTGCAGTCTGGTAGGGCCAACCCTCGTGGAAGGGTGCACAGGCCGATGAGATAGCAGGAAATTGAATAGTGCTTTCGCCTGATAGTGAGCCGAAGTGGCACTGTCACCATGCGCGGAATCGTCTGTTTGCTCGAACAAGCTTTAACGGGTCCCGTCCGATTCTTTCTTTTTTCAAGTGACCCACTTAGGAGTCCCATTTTGCACGATGCGAAATTTCAGTTTCGCGTTCTCGACGTGGCTTATTTCCGTTTGTTTCTCTCCTTTTTTTTTTTTTTTTGGTTTCTTTTTATCCTTTATTTTTCAACGTTAAATTCGCAAAGTGAATTATTATTTCTTGGCGAGTTATCCGGTCTTCGAGCGGATGATGCGGTTGTTGAGATATTTCGAATTGATAATTTTCTCGTATATATTAATTGTATTCTCGTTGGGTAAATTTACTTTAACTTTTTCCACTCTGTTTGATCCAATCTTGTATATTTAATTTACGGCGAGCGTACACTTTTGTAAAGAAACCGGTTAATTAAATATCGAATCGAAGGGTGGAAAGGGTGGAAAATTACAGCGGGATGATTGAAATTACGACGAGCATACGAATCGCGCTAGGTAATTAACCGATTCTCAAAGAGGGACGCTTCCAATCGAAAGCAGATTATTTTTATCGATCGATTCCCGCTTTCGATCCCGCTCGATCGATAACTCGATGCCCGATTTCCGGCACGTGCCCATTTCAACTGATGCTGGATTTTTTTTTTTTTCTCTCTCTCGTTGATTGCAGCGCTTAAAATGTCTGGAACGGAGGCACATGGCGGCGATACGAGTCCTACGCGTCAGCCAAGGTAATTAAAAAGTAATCCCCTCTTGATTTAGTTGGTGTCGAGGACTCTTTCCGAACCGGGGCCGATTCCATTTCCAAAGATCGTTTCTCAAATTTCCACGCAATTTTATAATGGAATAATTGTTTCAATCTCGATTCCCCCTTGATCTCTCGTTTTTCCTTTCCCATTAGAAATAAGAAGAAGGGGAAAAACTTTTTCCCTCCTTTTTATCTTATTTTCTTCTCCTCCTCGGAAAGAAACTCGGGATATAAACGCAACGGGACGTTTTTTTAATCCCAAACTTTCCACGTTTTCTTTCTTATCATATCAATTAAGGGAAACAAGATTAATCGAAAGATTTAAAAAAAAAAAAAAAAGAAATTCCAACTTTTTCGAACTTTGAACTTTGTCCTCGTTACCAACTTTTAAATATACTTTCAAATAAAATTTGATGTATCAACTCTTTCCATGCATTCATATAATTCATATGTATACGTATATATCGATATTAATTGAGGTATTAATTATCTTGGATCTCTATGATTCTCCATTTCGAAGACGTATTCCGAGTAGTTTATACAAAGGAGGTGGAGCGTTATAAAGGTCGCTCACTGAATCGAGCCGTCCAATTAGACGACTTGATCCTTCAAAGATCAGAATAATGAGATATTTTTTACGTATCGGTGATGCCCTTTACGAGAGACGCAAGATGCCTCGTTCAAAGATACAAAAGAAACCTCTTATTCATCGTTCATTTCTTAAATTCGTCCTCGCCCAGTTCGATTTCTCCTTTTTTCTCAAAGTGCTAATATCATTCTTTGTAAAATTTCAGGCAGAGTAGAATTCACAGCGTCGGGTTACCGACTCGAACGTCCCTGCTTCCGGAACCCCCGCCCGCCGGAAGTGGCACTCCACCGCCGATACCGCGCCGCCATTCAGCCACACCTGCGGTCAGTAAAGTTTAAATAGCTCTTGCTGCTCGAATTAATATCCGTTTCTGGTTTAATTGACACTCTTCTTATCGTCCTTTTCATTTCTGTACAAAAAAAAAAAAAAAAAAAGTCGAAAAAGAAAAATCTCGCGATTATTTTTATTCGAAATTCAGAGATCACGAATATATATATTTTTCTATCTAAAAGCAAGTTTCATGTTCGAAGTTTCATGTTCGAAGAAATCAAATATAAACACTTTTATTAAATTAGAATTCCTAGATTAGAATTCGTGAGGAATTTTCCAAAGAAAGAAATTATCCCCGTTTTCCATTTGTATATCCATTTATCGTTAAAGCGGAACGATCCAATTTTCTTTTTTCGAAATCACGCGGCGAATTAACGAAGCCAAATTCAATTCAGAGATCACGTAAACGAACGTATATATTTTTCGTATATTTTCGATCTAGCGACCAAGCAAAGTTTCGTGTTGGAAGAAATCAAACGTAGATGCTTTCGTTAAATTACCCTAGATTAGAATTCGTGAGAAATTTTCCAAAGAAAGAAATTACCCCTGTTTTTCGCTTGTATATTTGCCGCTAAAGCGGAACGATACAATCGAATTTTTTGTCAAAATCACGCGGCGATTAGCGGGAAACGGGATTAACGAAGCCAAGATGAAAAGCCGAGGCGTAATCTGAACCGGTTGGTTTTAAGTGGTAAATCGAGTAGAAGGAACGAAACCGTTTCCCATTCCAGAGCACCGTTCGCACGTTGCTAGTTCGAGTCCACGTAATTAGTGGACAAACGAGGGTTTAATGGATCAAGCTGTATCCATTGGTTCTTTGCAGAGACGTGTCTGGACACGGGGACAATCGTCACTGCAACCCACACGTGTATCCCACCATCCACATACACACATACACACACGATACACGGACACACGAGGGGTTAGTCTAGACTGCAAGTATCTCTTTCAAACTTTCAACAATCACTTTTCCACTTTTTCTTACCTCTTATTCTTCTTCTCATTTTTTTTTTCTTTTCTTTGTTGCAAATGTTATTAATTCTTAAATCGCTCGAAACAGAAGATAAATTTTCCAACAAAGATTTCAAGTAGAAAGAAGAAAAAGAAAACAACTTTAATACACGTTATTCTGCATGCGAAAAAGCGAAAGAAAGGAAAAAGAAAGCGCGCGAGCTTTCGCTCTTATCATCCAGGAGCAAGAGCAAATCGAGCTCAATCGAGTAGAAATCGAAGCGAGCGTTGAAACTTCTATCGAGGGAACTTGTTGATCCTCCCCAGGTCGCTCCGCCACCGATACCGTTGCGGCCGCCAGCGATCCCGAAACGGAGCAAAAACGAGAAACCGATCCCCATACAGACGAATCGACCTCGAAAAGCGAGCGACCCGACCTCGCTACCATCCACGTCCATCGTCTCAGCGCCTCTCCATTCGTGGCCGAACAACGAGAAGTTGATCGATCTGGGCCCGTTGCAGGCCCAGATCGGTAATCTGCGACCCGATTACCCCTCGTTGAGCTTCGCGGCGGGGAAAGAGGAGGGCGAGGGTAACGAGTTCGTGGCGGATTTCGACAAGGCGAATTTCCTATCCGAGGAGGATTGCGGCAAGGAATCGGGGGAGAAGTCGAGTTTCGAGGAATTGCAGAAGGCGTCGCGGGATCTCGAGAAGCGGTTGCACGAGAGGATCGTGGCGAGCGGCGAGTTCAAAGATCAGGCGGCGAGCAGGGAGGAAAGGCGGAGGCAGGCGAATGCGCAGAATAACAGGTGAGCGAGATAACAGGTTCCTATAATTTTCGAATGGGTAATAATGGAAGAATGGATTCCGTTAATAATTAAATTCCCCGCGTAGAAAGTAGAAAACGTATTTTTTGTATTATCGAATTTTCTACGAAAATATCGTTACATTTTTTTTTTTTCCTTTTTGGTGGAAAAAGAAGATCTGAAATTTTTATGCGATGTTATATTTCGAAAAGATCGTTCCTCGTTTTAAGCTTCCCGACGAAACTTTCCACGTTTCGCGTAACGTTGATTCGCGCTACTGAATCGAGTCACTCGGACGAAATCACGTTCGAGGGAAACTTCGTTCCTCCTCGTCGTTTTCGAATTTTTTCTTCTTCTCTTTTTTTTCGTAAAAAAAAGTACGGACAGAGGATCTTAAATTTCCTTTAAACGATAACAATCGAAGGCGATCATCGTTTTTACGCGAGCGAAATAGAATGCTTTGAACCGTGCTCGTGCACACGGATTAGCGGCGAGACGTTACGCCCGATTACGCTCGCGACGGGGTAAACGAAGCGTGAGTTTCGACTCTATCTCGCCGTTCGAGCAGACGTTTCGACGAAACGAAACGTTTGCCATCCTCGTAAACGGCTTTAATGCTCTCTTTGCCCGCCACGTGCGTTTTAGTGGAGCGGAGGGAGGCGTTTGAAAGGCGTTTCGTGGCATCGATCGCTTCTTTGCATTTTCGCTGGCCGATTTCGCGTAGACTCGGCTAGATGTGATCGAACCTAAATTGGCCGATGTAAACCGAAGAAGAGATCGTAAGAAACGTATGATGGAAATAAAATTCTAAGATGAAGAAAAAAAATATTATTTAAATTAAAATTTCTCACTCGAATTCCGCGTTTTTCTAATGAATCTGATTACGAGTCTTAATTTATAATTCTTCTTGATGCATAATAGAATCTTATTTCCCCCGAACAGTACATCTCGGCCGTTACAACAAACTTCGTTTAAGAACCCCTCGATCCCTCCGTGCACGAAACAAAGAGACAAGGGGATGGGGTTGGTTGGTTAAATGGCATGGAGGCATCAAAGGGGTGGAAGCATACATCACCGCCGTGGTAATATCACTGTGCAGAACTTCGTGGTGCGCTTTTTAAATAAATCACATCGTGGATGGAACTTGGAGGGAAGATATAATCGGTCGTCCATTTTACACGCCACTTTTTCTCGTCTCCCTTTTTTTTTTCGCTCACGGTTGTCCATATATATGGTGGTTGTTGGTGGACGCAGGGTGCAGTCGTCCAAGTCGGGGAAGGAGAGTTTCAAGGAAGTTGGAGACGGAAAGGCTCGAGAAAAAATCACAGGATCCCGAAGGGAGGTCCCGCAGGACGAGGAGACGAAGTTTGCAGCCCTGGTCAGGTCGCATCGCGAGGCGGAGAAGAGGTGCAAGTTCGAAGAGCTTCAGGCAGCCTCGAGGAAGCTCGAAAGACGGTTGTACGAGGAGGATGAGCATCTGAGGGCGAACAAGGAGAGACCTGGCAGGTAAATCCTTCGGGGATTTTTATCTCTGATTTAGAGAAAATACCTCGAAGAATTGCGTGCAACGACTTTGAATTTCTCTTTTTAAATATTTAGTCTTTGAAAAATATTTTTAATATTTTTGGAGAAGAGGTAATTCGTTTCGAAATCCGCCAAAGATAGATCCTTTCGAAGAATCGTATTATTCTTCAGCACATTGTTCACAATCTACGAGGGGTTCTTACTTTCTTCGAAGTTCTTAGTTTTCCATTTATTCCACGTGTTCCCTCAGAATTTCGAACTTTCGAAAACGTAGAAAGAACGATTCAATCTTCCTTCCTTCCTTTCTTTCTTTCTTTTTTTCTTTCGGCAAAATCAGGTACGAGGAGGTGCAGAGAGGGTCGCAGGATCTCGAGAGACGACTGCATTCCGAGCAGAAATCCGCCGAAGCTGCACCGCGCGGCAAGTACGAGGCGGAGATGGACAGGGTGAGGAACATCTTGCAGCACAATCTTAGGAAGGAGAGGAACTGCGAAAAATTGGAGAAGCTACCAAAGGCGACCCAGACGAATCTCCCCCCTCCTCTGAGCGCGATCTCGCAGAGCTCGGTGCCGAAGCCTATGAGCGTCCGCCAGGACAGCAATGTTTCCTCGGATAGTTTCAGCCAGACGAGTTCCCCCAGTTACACCAGCAAGACCATGGAGGCTCCTCTTTTACCCCATAAATACAGCAAAGTGCCAGGTAAAGAGAGAGAAGTAAGAATAAATCCTGTTCGATAATCACAAAGATATTCTGTTTTGTTGAAGAATCTAAACGAATTGTATGTACAAACATTATCGTAATTCCATTTCTCTAAACAAACACGCAATTTATACGTGTATATAATTTTAAAAATTCCCTCTCTCTTTCTCCTTTACCCACCTAAATTTCACGTTCAAATAATACGAGTTTACGTATAGATAAACGGGAGGATTCAATCAATCCAATTCAACCAATTCGTTTAATCGAGCGTCAACTAAAATTCCCCTGTATAATAAAGTTCTATCGGGAAATAACGATCGGGTGGCAACGACAGATTTCGATTTTTCATTACGCTTCGAAGGGGATCGAATTCACCGATTTGGAAATTTTCAAATAATCGAAATAAGTAGATTTGGATATTTACGAATTTAATAAACCGTGTTTCCCCGTAATAATATCCGTCGGCCCAGAAATATCTCTGCTGCGAGAGAGAGAGAGAGAGAGAGAGATATACATATACAAAGCGATAGACAGAATGACGAATCCGGGATTTGTAACCGACGATCACAATCGGTACGTTTCATCTTCGCAGTTACATTCGTGTAATTTCCCCGACTGATATATTTACACGTTTTAACGAACACGATCAATCATACCTTTTTTTTTTTTTAGATCTCACCCTACGTTCCAATACTTCTTCCATCGTATCGACAACATTTCTTTTTTTTTTTCACGAATATATCAACTTTTTCTCTCTCTCTCTCTTTTTTCAAACAAACGGAAAGAAAGAAAGAGAAAGAGAAGTCGATTTCAATTAATCATCCTCGCCCCCGTGTCATTTTCCTTCTCCTCCTTTCTTTCGATCGTTTATTACGAAAGCGAGCTACTTTCACGACCTGTGATTCAATGCGATCCCAATTTTCCAATTTTCTCTTACACGCACGCGCACAGATATTTATTTCAAGGAGATAATCGAGATAATGTTAATGAAATTCCTGGCGAATTCTATTTTCAGACAGAGCGCTGGTCTCGGAGCCGGAGAACTCGTCGGGGCGGACGATCACCAAATCGACCAGCACGCCGGCCAGCCTCCAAGCGATCGTCAGAGTTCNACGATCAATCATACCTTTTTTTTTTTTTTTAGATCTCACCCTACGTTCCAATACTTCTTCCATCGTATCGACAACATTTCTTTTTTTTTTTTCACGAATATATCAACTTTCTCTCTCTCTTTCTCTCTCTCTTTTTTCAAACAAACGGAAAGAAAGAAAGAGAAAGAGAAAGAGAAGTCGATTTCAATTAATCATCCTCGCCCCCGTGTCATTTTCCTTCTCCTCCTTCCTTTCGATCGTTTGTTACGAAAGCGAGCTACTTTCACGATCTGTGATTCACGAATGCGATCCCAATTTTCCAATTTTCTCTTACACGCACGCGCACAGATATTTATTTCAAGGAGATAATCGAGATAATGTTAATGAAATTCCTGGCGGTCTATTTTCAGACAGAGCGCTGGTCTCGGAGCCGGAGAACTCGTCGGGACGGACGATCACCAAATCGACCAGCACGCCGGCCAGCCTCCAAGCGATCGTCAGAGTTCACGGAGGGAACAATAGCTCCTTGCATCAAAAGGTAAATATCCCGAACGAGGGGAATACGAGAGTCGAGTTTTTCAATCGCTCAGACGCTGATGTTACGCAACGATTGAAAACGGCGCGATTAATTCTTTCGCGCTCCCCCGCGTTTATCGATTGCGTTCGTTTCCCACGCTGTTGTTACGTAACCGTGGAAAGGATGGAGAAAGAAGAGAGAGAGAGAGAGAGAGAGGGGGGATGGGAGGAAATATAGGAATTAAGGGTCGACCGATTTCGAAAGGCTCGAGGCGAAATTCGGAGAAGAGCCAGATTGCAAAGCGAGCCTTGTTGACACGTTTGCAGAAACGTTCGAGGCTGATACGCTTTAATTGGTCGGTCGGAGGTTTGGACGATACGCGAGGGTGAAATTGGAGAGAAGACGATGACGAGTTTCTGACGCGTATACCCTTTTGTGGATGGCCCTTTATTACAGGATAGAATAATTCTGTAGAATGTTTGGAGCATCATTGGATCGATTTAATTTAATTTTCGTTTCGCTTCGATTGGCTATGATTTCGAGCAGTTGAAGGAGAGATTTCGAAAGAGTGAATACGTGAAAGCGAATCAAAGATCGGATGGTGAATCGGAAGGTGAATAAATTTGGAGGATTATTTTTTTTTTTTAGTGATTCATTCGGCGTCTTTAAATATATTATAACACCGATTTGAAACATTTGTAACACATCTCGTGTCACGTCAGTTTTATGAGATATGAAGCGTAATATACCACGTGATTTGTTCCAATCCTTGGACCATCAATGCAAACTTACTACCAACATCGATCGATTCACGAGAGTAATAAATTCAAGACCCGTTTACCGTTCGTTCGTTCGTGGAACGCGGGCGAGCCTTTCGGTCATACTCCTCCAAGAGAGACAAAAAGTATCATTTGGTAGTATCAAAGTATCAAATCCTCCTCCGACCAGATTTTATCCCACCGTGATATATTCGAATCGTTCCAATACGCATCCAACCGAGGCACGCTTTTGAATATAAAGATAAGTAAGTAAATGAACACGCATTTAAAAAAAAGAAAAATCAATTTCCAAATCTATTGATATTATCCCCCTTGCGCAAGATGATATTTTAAAAATCACCGCGTTAAAAGTCAGCTGCAGAGAAGCAAAGATAAAACACTGGGCGGTATCTCGACCTTGATACCTTGTAAATTTCGCGATATCCTCGCGATATGGGCGATTATCGATGCGGATCAACGTTGAACGATGCTGAATAAACGCACCCGAGATCCACCGTTTCCACAGGGGATCGATAACTCGTGTTATTTATTTCCTTTTGTCCCGAATCGGCCGCGTTTGTTCTTTGCGCCCCGAATACGGATGGAAACGTCGGATCGGAGCCCGTATCGAGCTCGATATCACTTTACACATCGAACGCTGTTATTAACGGGGCCGAAAATAGCAATACGAGCGATAATAAACGCGGGAAATTTGCAGGACAGCGAATGCAACCTCGGTTTATGAAACCGAGCAGCCGGCTCTTTTAATTGGCCCCCATTTAATTGACCCCGTTGATTTTCAACTCCTTTCCCCTCCCCTCCTATCTTTGCGCCCGCTTTTTATCGAAAAAATAATTGCGAATTGAATTTTATCGTTCGTCGTTAATCACGCGCGTGGAAAATCCGCGCGTCTAATAAACCAACGATTTTAAACCGGTATACTGGAATGGGGAAAATTTTAAGTTGAAGTTTAAGAATAAGTATTGAGATTATATTAAAAGAGGATCAATTATAGGATTGCGTATAAATTTGTATCTGGCCGAGTAAAATTCGAATCTTAAATATTGTTCTACGGCCAATTTCCTCCCCTTTTGTTACGTTTGAAGCGAGTATCCAAAAAATAAATAGGACAAGGTTGATGGTTTAATCGATTACGCGTGTAACGAAACGGTATGAAAATTCAATATTACGAGACTCGACGAGACGCTTTTTCCTTCCTACTATTATCACTACTGTTTATTCTCTTTTCGAGTGTGTCAAAGGATATCGAAAGATTAAAACGTTTAACCATATATATATATATATATAAAATAACAAAATGGAATTCTCGCGAGAGAAACGATTAAAATTAATCTCCGTTTCCAAAAAAGAACATCACCAAAAAACGTTACCATCCCCGATTACCATTCGTGAAATCCTCCCCCTTTTTCATCCCAAATAAAGGGATAAAAAGTTTCGAATGTAATTACCATTGGGTGGAGGGATAACGAGAGAGATCGTCTCGTTTGTTCGCGAAAATGGAAAATGGCGGGCACGAAACGAAATCGGCGAAAGATAAAATTTACGCTGGTCGTGCAACGCAATTTGTCCTTCCCTTGCTCGATAAGACCGCGAGGAAATTATAATCGATATCGGCTAACAGAGGGTCGAGTAGACAGGGTGCGTTGACTCCTCAAACACGGGATCCGTTACGAGCGTGTACGATCGACGTCGAGGACTAATATTTGCCCCAATTCGTCCGCTCGGTAGTCTCTGTCTGCGTCAATTACGCGAACGAGGATAAACCATTGTATCCCTCTTGTCGAAATAGTTCTCCCTTATGAATGTATCCGATGTATTAAAACGCTCGAGAGGAATTCGAGAAATGTATGCATATTTTACACGATATATGAATATTTGCTTGCCAAAAATTCTGGTATCGATTATTCGATTTTCTCGCAAAGTTTTCGTTTCATTAAGAGGAAAGAATCCAACAACTTTCGATTTCATTTTTTTTTTTCTTTTTAATTTAATTCAACTCCCGTCGGACGATTTTCGAGTTAAGAAAGACATAAGAAACTCGGCTCGATATCCCGAAACGGGTATCAAAATTAGCCAATGCCACTTAGATCCCACTAACTGGAACAATCATCTCTGTTTGCAGATCATCAGTGACATGGCCAGCAGCCACTACGTAACCAATGGGGGATTGCGTTTTAGATTCGTCCAGGTGTTCTTCAACGCTGTCGCCCTGTTGGTCATTGCCGGTGGTCTGACCATTTACTTCAAATGTAAGTGAACATCATCTCCTTTTCTTTTTTTCCTTTTTCGTCATAAAACGGTGCGCGCGTGTTGACCGTTTGTCCGCGTCACAGCCCACCCCCTTTTGCCGTTCTCTCATTCCACGGCAATGAATCGCCGATGAAACGTGTCGGTGGGACGTTACTGCGCGGTGACAAACGTAAATGTTGGTGACGTTAGGTGGTATAATGCACGAGCACGTAGCGGAGAGAGAGAGAGAGAGAGAGAGAGAGAGAGAGAGAGAGAGAGAGAGAAAGAGAGAGAGTTTGTGGAGAGCGGAAGATCAATAGAGCTCCCTGTTCCCCCGTTGCTACTTGCTCTCAAATATCAACACCGCAACTTTGTTCGATGCAATCGTTACCGGATGGATCTCTGTTCCCCCTTTCCCTTCGAGCAACAATTAAAAACTTAATCGATCAATCGAGTAATCCGTGTGATGATTACGTGTCCGTGAATAAAAGAGAAGCGAAATTCAAAATGTGATTCTCAACGAGAATAATCGGAGAACGGAGGTAATCTTAGAAAGAGTGCTTATGCAATCTTGCGATGACAGAGGGTGCTCGAGCGTGTGAAAAGAGTGTAACGATACTTTTCTCCATTAGGGGATGAAACACCGAGTTTTGAAATGGATGGTTGGCACGCAATAGATAAGATTCGAATATCGAATTTCGAAAGTAAATGCGATATCACAATAGTGATTTATCTCACGTTCCATTAGCGTATCCCGAGACGCTCATAAGGGTGGAGAACAAAACGATCTACACGAAAATGGTCGCTGTTACGGAACGTGCCCTACCGGCGATCGAGGAGAAGAATCCGGCCCCCGGCGTTTGCCTGCCCATAATCGTGGCGTTTTGCAAATACCACAAGGTAAGGTACTTCCACCCTCCATCCATTGTCCACGTGCCAAGCGTGGATCTTGTTCGTAATAATTTCCGATAACCATCTCGGGATGGAATCCGCGATTCTCTCCGGAGATCGAATTCGATTCGCGCGTCACGCGATATTTTTAACCGCTTCCTCTCACTCGAGGACTGCTCATCCTTGTTCAACCGTGTTTGCCTTTCCTTTCCCGTTGTTTGCGCATATTTCGAAACTTCTCAAACTAGAACTAACGTCTCTTTGCTTCGGAAGGGTTTCGTATATATTATATTCGACTGTTCGAATCGAAGATAAATATGTATGTAATTTATTCGAATTTATTCGAATCATTGAAAACTTGAGTGAGAAATTTTCTAATTTGGAGAGATTTAATTCGAAATTGTTCCAAATAAATTCACTCGATCGACGAAAAATCTCCTCGAGAGGGAGAGAGAGAGAGAGAGAGAGGCAAGTAATCGTTACGCTTATTCATCGGGAGTTACGACGCGCGAATTTAAGAGGGACGTTGGTCGTTCTAATTAAAAGGAAGTAAAGCCAGACGGCAAATTAACGTGTGCTCGTTTTTCGTTGCCGATCTCCCTAGATCCCGTATAATTTCACCATCTTCCCGAATTACATGGGCAATTTCGGGCAGCGAGACGCTCAACACGAGTTGGAACTTTACAGTGCCGTGATCGACGTCAAATGCTACGAATTGGCCGCCCTCTTTCTGTGCAGCGTTTTCGTCCCGAAATGCGGATCCCGGGGCCACGTGGTGCGACCTTGTCGCAGCCTCTGCTATCGTGAGTGATCCTCCTCTCCCTTCCTCAACGATTTTCAGCAACCGTAAAAGAAATTTTTTTCTTTTTTAATTCTGTCGTGTCGAGACCGAAAGATGCGAGCCCCGCGTTAGATTCCTGCAATTCTGTGAAACTGGTTTAAATTTCTTGTATATCGATTAGGAAACGATGCTCCTCGAATGTCAAATTCCTCGAGAATGTCGAATTTCTACCTAGATACCAAGAGACGTTGCGGATTTTTCCTGGACGTGTTCGGCCTCACTCTGCCCGAGTATCTGGAATGCGATCTGTTCCCGGAGAATTCCAATTCGGACGAGTGTGTGGGGCACCAAGAAGTGCTGGATGCGGCCCGGAGAGCGGAGAAACCCGGTAAGTCATCGTCGTATCCTCAGTTTTCATCGATCGCAAACGACGAAGAAACGGGAAATATCCCGAACTCTCTTACTATTTCCTTAACTTTCTCGAGATCGAAGATAAATTCTACTCGAAGGGAGAGTAAGGAATTATAACTTTGCACGATTCGACGTTTCAAGAGTCTTGATCGACGAGAAAGTTCGATAAAATTATGAATCGAATCGAATCGAATCGAATCGTTTCGTTTGTCCCTCGCTATTTCTCGTCATTTTTGGCGGCCATTTATTCCTGTTCCATCGGAGAGTATAAGCCTGGAGGATAAAGTCCGAGCGTTTGATAAAGAGGTGGATAATCGTGGGATTAAAATAATCTCGCAGGGACAGGCGGACGATGGCTGAGAATATAGACGGATCCCGATAAAACGTTCCGAAGATGCGAACGTTTCCTTCTCCACGTTTCTCCAATTTACCTCCCCCCTTCTTCCATCTAATAATTAAAATTAAGTAAAACAAAAATCCGCAAATCTTTCAGAAAATTTAATCATCCGAATATTTGTTTAAAAATATCGTGTATATATTCTTTTACTTTACAAAAAGAACGAGTTAATATTATCTATATTCGTTTCTTTTCTATTTAAAAAAAAAGACAAATATTTAAATATGATCCACTCCGTTAGATATTTGATGAACGCGATCGTAGCTCGAATAAGTTATTAAAAAAAAATTCTCCAAACGGAAAACCGTTTGTAGAAACCGAATAAAATAAAATAAAATCCGATAAAAATTCGTAAATTTAATAGAAAAGAAGGGGAAAGAATTCTTTGAAATGATAAATCGACCGTTTGCAAAAACATCCAGGCGTTCAGATAATTATCGAAACGAGCGGAAATATTTACGCGAGTTTACCGCCTGTCTTTTGTTTTAAGCATAGATTTCTCCCCATCGGGGCGACGACTAATTGTGCCGACCAACCTAACCTAACCTCCTCATTGTTCACGTTTCTCGTCCACGTGTACGACTCTTTTGTTTTCGCCTAGAAACGGGCTTCCATTGTTGACCGTCCGTCACGCGGAGGGAAATTCCCTCCCTCCTGCCCCCCCCCTCCCCCTTTTATGCACCGATCGTTTCGACGCAATTCGGTTTTCTTAATCGTCCTCCCCCCCCGTTTAATCGCCCCCCCCCTCCCCCTCTACGACCTGTAAGCTTGGCCCGTTCGATCGCTCAGTATATACAGGCGATCTTCGGTTTCCGGCCACCAAGTGAAATTACGCACCGTTGGCCAGACGTAATTCGATGAAGCCGTGTTTCCCGTGTTCGAGTCGATCGAGCTTGAACGAGAGAGAGAGAGAGAGAGAGAGAAAGGGAGAGAAATCGAGTTATTCGCAACTTGGATCGAATAAAATTCATCAGTCGTTAAAAGTTACGACGGATTGTTAAAAAACTTTTCTGCTCAAACAAAGCGAAACGGAATGGAATTTTATAATTACAACTTATCGGATGTACAGATATTATAATTAAAAGACACGGATTTCTTTTAGAATGAATGAAAAATTCATGCGAAAATCCAATCATTCGTCCATTGAACGCGAGTTATTCGATATTCGAAATCGAAATATATATATATATATATATATACAAATATAAAATGCACATCGTAGATAAATATGCAAATGAAATTAAATACAAAACGATTTTTCCTTTTTTCTTTCCCCCCCTCTCCCTCGATGAATCTCGTTCCTCGTAAAGAGGAAACGATTCCCTCTTCCTTTTCACAGTCGATAAAATTTCCCCTTTCGAAGGGAGGAGGGATTCGAACAAAAGGAGAGACCGACTTCTTGCCGCGTCTGTTTCTCCGCGCCAGTAGTAGAAGTTGATTTTGGTCGGACGTCCGTCCCGGCGACAACCGGAAAGATTAAACGATCGACGGTCTTAGGGTGCACTGTGCAATTATCGAATCGTGCCAAGGGAGAGGGAGGGGAAGGGGGAAGGAAAGAGCCAGGAAAGTTTCGTTGTATCGATCTGTCGGTCGGTGTGTTGCAGATCGAGGATCGATTCGCATCCGAAGATTGATAAATCGATTCATTTGCGTTCGCGGTTAATTGAAATTAAATTGCGTCCCGATTATAGGATGTCGTTCCACTCGTGCCGCGATTTCTAAACTCGCTCTCGACGTCGTTTTCTTTCCTTTCTCCCTTCGTGCGCAACAACACATCCCTCCAACGTCCCTTTTATCCGTTCCGTGTGTTTGCGTTGGACAGGGAATGGAAATATCGTGGAAATTTCGAATCCTTTTCGAGCATCCCCCTCAATTCATCGAGAATTTACGAGCGAAAAGTGTTCGAAAAAAAAAGTGCTCGCCGACAGACGAACTTTTTTTCAGTCCCTTCTTTTTCCCTTTTCGAACAGGTCTCCCTTTCCTCGGTTAAAGTTTTCGCAAAAAAATTATTATATTCGATCACGGTGATTTTTTTTTAAGAAAAGTTGGTGAAGAGTTTTGGAGTTAATGGTAAGAAAAATTGAGGAGTAAAATTTAAAGGATTAGGTATTTGAATATAATTTTATAATTTTTTTTTTATGGTTTAATTTTTCATCATATTTATAAATTGTGTACTTATATAGTTCTCCCAATCATTCTTCCATCTTTCCAAAATAAATAATTCTGCGAAAATATTTAATATATATTATATTTTTTATATATATTATATTTAATTATTTTATATTTGATTACGGTGATTTTTTTAAGATAAATTTGTAAAGAGTTTTGGAGTTAATGATAAGAAAAATTGAAGAATAAAATTTAAAGGATTAGGTATTCGAATATAATGTGTAATTTAATATTTTTCTTTTTTTATGATTTTTCATTACATTTATAAAATTGTCTACTTACATACAGAGTTTCATCTTCCTCGAACCATTCTTCCATCTTTCCAAAATGAATAATTCTGCGAAAATATCTAGTATATATCTAGTATATCTATTATCCAATATATATATATATATATATATTTAACGAAGAAACATACGTTATTGGAAAGTTAGAAGAAAGCAAGGAGTGGAAATAACGAAAAGAATTTTCGAAAGAAACGATCTAATCCTATATCGATAACTTTACTTATCGTTTCAATGATTCTAAAATTTATACTTGTATCGAATTTTCCATTATTTATGTATTTGAGAGATTATATATCTGACACTAGATTAAAACGGCTGAATCAGATTCTATTGGCCGTAAATGAAATTCTACTGGTCGTATAATAGAATGGAGTTCGATTTTTATATTTTTGAGAAAATTCCCGTGTATTAAATGCCCGATTCATATCAACGCGCACCAGTTCACGTCGCGGATTCACGCGTGTCCCCGCCGCTAATGGAATCTTAATTGCAAAATCTATATTAAACGATCGCGTGATTTTCGACAGTGGTTTGCTTTATGGAGTTCGTTTTCAGAAAAGAGAGGGGAGGGGGCGCATATATAAATATATCTTTGGCGTCACGCGATATACACTCGCTGCGAATAAACATTTATCAAAGCAGCCGTGAACATGACGTCTTCGTCGTTTTGCGAAGAGGGAACCGATGTTTAAACGCGGTGGAAAGATTCATGGTTGCTTAAAGACGAACAAATAGACGAAGAAATTTCACTCTCTCTCTAAAATGGAAACTTCCTTTTCCATTTTCATACTCGGTGTAAATCTGCTATTTCTAATTTAAATGTGTCATCAATTTAAATTGTTATCTGGGATTGTATACATTCTATATAATAATTGAACAACAATTTCGAACAAATCTTGCGCAATAAATAAAATTGCACAATGAAATTGCGCAATAAAATTAAACTTATTTATAAGAAACAGGAATACTTCGAAGGACTTAGTTTAAAATTAACTTCATCGATCCTCGTATTAATTATCACGAGGTAAAAACGTTCGAAAATGATCGAAAGTTACAATAATACAATACGGATTCGCAATGAGCCAAGCCCAAATCGGAACCCATTTTACCATTCTCTATTTTTCTCATTTTTCTCTTTTCTTTTTTTTTTTCTCATTCGTATTGCAGTTTGAAAATTTTGAACAAAAAATGGAAAGGGAACAGATAAAAAGGAGATAATACATAGAAATAAAAGGAAAAAGAAAAAAGAGAGAGAAATAAAATTAATAGAAACGAAGAAAGAAGCCAATGTACAATATTGTAGGTAAGAAAAAAAGAAATAATACTTGTTAGCCTTTTCTTGGTGAACGTGTTGTACACAGTATGCACCAGCGGGTTCCAATGCGATGGGACCAGATGCATTCCGGTCGACTGGCGATGCGACGGCCACTTGGATTGCGAGGATCACAGCGACGAGATTGGATGCGGTGAGTGCGCCGCCTCCTCCTCTCCCTCCTCATCCTCCTCTGCCTTCACCACCAAGATCGTGAAGAAGCCCATCCTGGCGAAGAACACCGTCTCCAAGTCGCCCTTGCATTGCGGGGAGAAAAGATGTATGTCGGCGAACCACATCTGCGACGGGGTGATGGACTGTCCTTGGGGTCAGGACGAACGATATTGCTGTAAGTAAGACACCAACTTTTCGTTTGCCAACTTTTCTTCTACTTCCTCTTCACGATTCGATTTATAGATTAAAGAACGGATCGGAGAAGGTGGAGAAGGAGAGGGATACGAACTTTGGAAATTTAGAATTGAATTGTAAAGAGGAATTTACAACGATGCAAGTAGAGCAGATAAATCTCGAAAAAAGATTTATCCTGGTCAGATAAGTAGGTTAATCGCATCGTAATCAGACGAGTGGAATATGTACAAGTAGGGCAGATCTGTCGTAGTACGTATACAAGTTTTGAAAGCAGTGATGGGGCAAAATTTAATAGTTGAAGTTACGAATAAACTTATTTCGATAAATCACTCCAATAATTTACCGTCCAAAACATAATAATGATCGGAAATGATAATGGCAAACGGTCGAAGTTATATGTGAAAACCGGATTAACTATAATAATTACGAATAAATATTATTCGTAGCTATTTTAATAAGTAATTAAAGTAACTTTATTAAGTAAATTTTTAACTTTTAATTACTTTGTTAATGCCCAACTCTTTGAAAATCGTGATAAACGAGTGATACAAGTGAGAACGAGTGAGAAAAGGAAGAGGCGAGTAGGATAAGGCAATCGTAATCAGACAAGCGGGTTAAATCATTGAGCTACAAGAGTTGTTGTAATTAGATTAGTAAGATCATAATGAAACGAGTCGGTTGGACAAGTAGAAAAAAAATAACTTTATATAATATTAATAAAGAGAAAGAAAATGTTCGGATAATTTTTAACTCTTTCTTTTTAACTTTTATCTTATTTTTTACGGTTCAAGTAAATAAAAATTTTTTACTGAATATTTCAACAGTGAGATTAAGCCAAAGAAACGGAGACATGGGCGAGGGAAGGTTAGAAGTTTATCACGCAGAGATGGGCAAGTTTATGCCAGCTTGCATTCCTTACTGGGATTCGAATTCCGCTAAAACTATCTGCTCAATGCTCGGATATACGTAAGCCTCGATATAAAGAATGCCGATTTCACTAGATATTTTATCGAAACAACAGGAATGTATCGGGACGTTTTTTCAGGGTGGCACTTTCGTACAGATTGGCGCAAGATATGAATCTCACTCGAAGAGAGAACACGAGCCAGCATACCAATCTTCTGAAGGAATTTCAGGAATGTATTACGGATCAGGAGGCGTATCCCACTGCGGAATTGACGTGTTCGGAATATGGTATAGCTATTTCTCGCCATGTATCTACGTTTTAAATAATTTTTTAATTATTATATTTGATATATTCGTTCAAGCTTGTGGGCGAAGAAACACAGTTTATGGAAACGTGAGGGCGAAAACGAGGATCGTAGGGGGTGTGGAGTCGGCTCCTGGTGATTGGCCATTCCTTGCAGCTCTTCTTGGCGGACCTGAGCAGATTTTTTACTGTGCCGGAGTTCTGATCGCTGATCAGTGGGTCCTTACAGCCTCTCACTGCGTGGGAAAGTAAGTTCATTTTCAAGAATTTCGATTAAAAGGGTAGGATTTGAATTGGAAAGAAAGTTATGGAATTTTGTTTGTACTTCTAGTTACTCTGACGTAACTGGGTGGACGATACAGTTGGGGATCACCAGAAGACACTCTCACACTTATCTCGGCCAAAAGTTGAAGGTAAAGAGAGTGGTACCCCATCCAGAATATAATTTAGGCTTCGCTCAGGACAATGACGTGGCTCTTTTCCAGGTATTCAATAATTAAAGGAACTTTACATTTCTATCATTAAACGTGTGCATTTCGATGAACATTATTATTTTCAGCTCGAAAAGCGAGTTCAATTTCACGAACATCTAAGGCCAGTCTGTCTGCCAACGGCCAATACTCAATTAATACCAGGAACGTTGTGCACTGTGATTGGTTGGGGCAAGAAAAACGATACCGACAGTACGTATCTAAAGATATTGAGATTAGTCGATTGTGATCATTCTAACCAGATCGGTTTGCCGACAGCCTCCGAATACGAATTGGCTGTGAACGAAGTTCAAGTTCCGGTTTTGAACAGAAAAGTGTGCAATTTTTGGATCGCGTACAAGGAAATGAACGTCACCGAAGGAATGATATGTGCAGGATATCCGGATGGAGGAAAAGACGCGTGTCAGGTAAGTTTGATTGAAATTTTTTTCAATATTTTAATTATTCCTAGAATTATTCATAGAATTTTCTTCTTCAATCTCTTGAACAGGGCGATTCTGGAGGTCCATTGTTGTGCCAGGACGAACAAGACAAGGAGAAATGGTTTGTCGGTGGAATAGTGAGTTGGGGTATAATGTGCGCTCACCCAAAATTGCCAGGTGTGTACGCTTACGTGCCAAAATACGTACCCTGGATACGGAATCAAATAGCCAAGTATTCTGAAATAAGTATGGGTTAATCACGAAAGGTAAAAATCACGAAGATGATGACGTTTGTAAATCGAAGAAGTCATCCCGCTGAAGAGATTATCGAGATATTTAATTAAGACAATAATTTAAACGACAATAAGCTTAGTTGAGAAACAGTTATAGGAGCTACGTTATAGATCTTCGAAGAAAGATATTTTCGAGATATTAGTGATTATATACTTAGATAGGCGAGATTATTCAAACTGTTTGCGTTGACCTATTAGCTTACCAAGGATTCAACTTTGTTACAAAAAGAAGAATAATCGTAATTCACTTGATACAAATTCCCTTTTGAATAATATATTTTGAAACGTTGTACAACTGGTGATACTTTAGAAGATTATCATTCTCTGTGAAGACAATACGATCTCAATCACGATAGATGCCTCGAGTTCAAAGTATTCTGTTTAACCACGTGAAAACTTTTCTCCTTTCAACGAGTATTTTTACTACGAACTCGTAACTTTCTAAACGATGATAAATCTGATATGATGATACGTGCAAATATGTGATGAGAAGTTGATCGACGTAGATTTAAACAAAAATATTTCGTGATCTTTTCGAAACTCTATGACAATAGGTTTATAAAGGTTTATCACAAATTTTTGCATCCTATTTCCATTTCTACGCAGTGCACACCTTAAATTAGACGAGTCGATCGATGATTCCCTGTCTACGTTGATCAATTTTTAAATAACCTTCTCTCACTTACGAATAAGAAATTTAGATAAGAATGCAAAAGTAAAGGTGAAATAAGAGGAAACATACTATGGAGGAAGAAAGCTTCAGACAACGAGCTCTCGTCGCCATTTTCTAGAAAGTCAACGCCCGCTTCTAAACTCTAAAGATAAAACTCGATGTAATTATTAAGCGAAACTGTGCAAATTTCCTCATCGAAATTAGAGACAAAAGCGAAGCAAATACAGTCAAAATTTCCGCATCAGATGCGATAAAATAAAATAAGAAAAAGAAAAAAAAATATAAAAAAATAGAATTTTCTATCGCCATCTGTTTTTTTGGAAAACAGCGTACGTGCCACCAAGTGGTCGATAATCACGTTTCAAAGGGGTGTGCGTTTGCTGTACATTAAGAAGAAGTTTCTCTGCTCTATCACGAATTTAGAAACTGTGGCAGCTTAAAAATAAGAGGAGATTAAAAGGATTTGTTTTTTTTCTTTTTTGTAAGAAAAATGAAAGATTGAAAAATATTATGGATACTTTTTTACGAGTTTTACCAACGCACACCCAAAGTAAGTGAAATTCTGTGCACATACTGCATCAGATGCATTTGTGCACTTATAATAAACGTTTCGTGTACCTATAAGAGATTAATATAGATCGATATTATCGATATTAAATTAAGATGTATGTTTGTTAATGTAGGTATAAATTATAATATACATATACGTGTTTAGCGTTGCGTGTATTAACTGTATATTATAATGTAAAGTACGTGTGTAAGTATAGACAGAGAAACATACAAACGTATGTAAGATAGAATATGTAAGTATTAGAATTGTGGTAACTGAATTTGATTCATTTCTAAAGTTTAATTAATTTAATTTTTTTTAGACAACTTTTTCTAATTAATCGTTTGATAATTAATTATCAAATATTCGAAATTACAAAATTATTTAGTGATTTTTTATAATTGAAAAGAAATTTTAATTTTTTAAATATTGGAAGAAAATTTATATCTAAATTTATTCGTAATTTTCAATTTTTTCTAATTTCATAATTAATGCAATTATTTGTTTAAAGCTTACGTATTTAATATTCTAATTCTCTGCTCCGAATATATTTATTAGAAATAAAAATATATTCGAAGCACGAGGAAAAAAGAGTATCTAAAGATATAAATAACGAAGCGTTGCTTGTAGTAATTTATTAGCGCACTGGCTAGGCTTAAACGTTAGATTAAACACATGTTGACTGAATTCTAGGGACAATACTCTGCACCAGCACTTTTTTGATCCGCACCCGATGATGAGATGAGAAAAAGATAACATAGTTTTTAAAAAACGAGTAAAATACTTTGTACTTGATATGTATATTGTTTACGAGAAGAAAAAACTAGGAGCCTTACTAATTGACTTAGACTTTTTCTAAGCGATAAGAATAGCGGTATTGTTGGTCAGGACAATAATCGACCTCGTTTTTTCGTGACGCCATTTTTCTTATCCGTGTCTTCCTCCATTGAGGATACTTTTTTATCTTGTTACGAATACGCTTGTTTTCTACGTGACGTATTTTTTTCATAGATATTTCGTAAGGAAGATTTTTCTAGATAGTTTTATTTCTTAGTTTGGACGAAAAAATTTATTTTACCAATTCAATAGATAAAAATAGATAATTCCACTTTTTCTCTACCTAATCGAGGCTACTTCCAAAAGTTAAAACGCTTTGCTCTCCCTTTCAAGTATATTCGAATGATTGTTCTTTTTTTTTTTTTTTTCCTCGAACAAGATGCTCACTTTTTATCCCCGTTGACAAGTTAGAGGATAAAAGTCTTCCTTAGTATCCAGACAACAGGTAGTTGTAAGCGAGGAATAATGTAAAATTTAATAATAACCGACAATACTGTGTGAGCAGACAATAAATAATATTAGGAAATGTTCCAAGACGGACAATAACTTAGCTCGTAAGCACGTAGGTTAAATTTTAATCGATAAGGCAGCAGATATGCATGTGATTGTTGAAGATAATTCTCTCGTGTAAAGTGTAAGATCGTTATTATAATCGTTGAGTAAGGTAATAATTTAAGGAATGGTGGATTTAAATTGAATCGTGCGTTTGATTTTCAGAGATTCTTTAAAAATTTCTTCAGTTTCTAATTATGTTTTAGAACAAGTAAAAAAAAAAACCAGTTTTCTCGGTTTCCTTATAAATATAATAATTCTATCTTTTCCAATTACAATAAGGTATAATAATTATATATAATCGTTAAAAAATCCACCATTATTCTATAACTGACATAAACTTTTTCCCATTATTGCATGTAATTCCATTGATATTTTCATAAGTATTTGATCAATTTGTACACAAAGGATAAAATCAAATAGAGATGAAAAGAAAATATATATCGTCATTAAATGAAATTAAAAATCAAATAGGACAATCAGGAAATTATTTTCTCGATAAGAATATTTTTCTAAATCGAATAGAATTCTTGGTTTCATTGCTATATATACTATATACAGATTTATAACGCGTGATGTGCAAAAAATATTCTTGCTTCTCTTCTAAAATTTAATTTCCAATTTTTATTTCAAATTTAATCATAGCTTTCGAACATAGAATCTCGAAATATTGTGATGAGATAACGGTTTGTACGTGAAATCATTTATAACTATAAGACGATATAATCGCGATAATATAAAATATATCGATAATATATATATATATATATAAATAATCTATAAGCAGGTGTTGTTTAAAAGAACAATTACAAATCTATTTTACAGAAATGATATTGCTCGGTTTAGTTGGTGATTCGATGCCAAAAGAAGAAGAAGAAGAAAAATAAAAAAAAGATCGTATATTTCCGTTGAAACGAAATCGTTTCGCATGATGGATTTTTATATATTTTTTTATCGACGTGACTAGAAAGAATGCCGAGAGAAACGACGAAAAAAAAAAAATATTCAAAAAAAAAAAGAAGAAAAAAAAAAGAAAAAAAAGAAGAAAAAAAAAGAACGTAGCTCGTATTGAGAATTGTGAGAATTGTTCTTGTTTCATTGGATGATTTTAGACATTTTTTTACGCGAGAAAACAGTTACAGAGTCAATAATATATAGTCAATTTAGAAATAGATGTATCGTAGGCACGATGGCTGTAAAGTTTGTATATGTTAAGTACCGTGAAACCTTCGAGTAAATTCATTGCATTTTAGAAACTCTTCTTTATTAGTTAGATAATTTTTTTGAGATAGAGAAAAACAAATTTTCTAATTTTTAGAATTCTCTCGAGTTTCTTAGAATATTTATAATTCCTTCGGAATTTTTTAATGATTCTTTTTAAAAGAATTTCCCTCAGAATTTTTCTAACAACTTTTTTCTCACAACTTTACCTCCGAAAAATTTCGTAGAACATTTCGTTTCTTCTTGCTGTCAAATAATCGAAACGCATTTCCGATTAACTTCCTCAATTACTCGAGGTTGTCACGAACCGCTGCGCACAAAATACTGATGTCCCTAAGAAAGAAGACTCTCCTTCAGAAGAAGATCTTCGAGAGACATTACGATATATATGCGTAAACTACTCCTGTGAAGTCAATGTCGATTAGCGATATATCTTAATAATAATTGTAAAATTAATTAAAACAAAAAAAAAAAGAAAAAGAAAAATAAAAAATAAAAATGGAACTAGGATAAGATTACTCTAAGCTGTCTAAGCAAAACGGTATAACTTATACACAACAATCTTAACGCACTCTAAACAATTATTTGTACGTGTTTCGATCGTGAACGATCATATATGAAATGTTTAAAAATAAATAAATAAAAAGAAATTTAATTTTAAGAGAGTAGGAAGCGAAGGTTCGTGGTGAAAAATTGTGAAAAAAATTATATAATGAATTAATCGATTAAAAATGATTTGTAAGAGAGAAAACCAACGCAATCGTCACTCGAGCTTGAAGGTTGATACACGTCACTGTACTAATTACTTATCGAATCGAACGGCCGATTGAATTCGGATCGATGAAATTATATGTCAATTCGATGGATTTCACACGGATGAACGAAGCGAAATAGAATTATTTTATCGAAAATAAAAAGAATCTCGAGAGGAGGAGGATAACGAAGTAGAATTAATGTATTAATTAACAAGATTCGATTCGGATTCAGCCGAGTGTTAGAAAAATATCTGCTCTGTGATCTTTCTTCGAAAAGGAATTCTTCGAAAACTATCTGGATTATTATTTAATCGAATTGAATATATCGAATAATTTATCTAATAATAATATCAAATAGGAAAATTATGATTTCAAATAATTTAATTCAATTCCTCTCTCTCATCGAACAAACATATTTTCTCTTTTCTTGCGAGATCAGATAAGAGCAGTCGATTAATCCCCCCCCCTCCCCTCTCTTCCAAGTCGTTTGACGAGTTAGAAGAGTTAAAATCTGTACACACTTGCACACGTGTAATACACACGCCTAAATTAGTCGCGTATTAATAAAGCATTTATACTACGCTACGTGTATATCGCCCCGCGTTCTATTCGATCGGATCCCCGTTGAAACAGTTAACAACGACATCGACGAACAATCATAGCGAAGAAATATAGCCGAAGAATTAATTTTTAATAAGCACACTACCACCGCTCCATAGTTGAATTAAAGATGGAAGAGGATGGAGGAAGGTAACGAGTAGAACGCGGGGACGTTTTAAATGTGATTGCTTGTTGTGCCCGGCACAAATCCTAATCGTACAATCAGTGGTCGATATATATTGTATACATAACATATATATATATATAGAGAGAGAGAGAGAGAGAAAGAGAGAGAAAGAGAGAGAAAATGCTAATGTTTGCGGAATAAAAGTGAGAAAATGAAAATATAGCCGGAAGAAGAAATCTCGTTCAAAAGGGTTGTAATTAAGCGGTATTTGTATGTTGTATATGTTAACACGTAGATGTACATAATTACACGAATATGTATACACAGGCATATACGTACGTATATTTATAAAATGTACGCAATTATATGCAGTATAGAATTACGTTTGGCCGTAAACGTTAGGTAAACACACGTTTCCACACGTTTCTGTGTCGCTGTGATTGGTACATAGACTTTTTAGGCCAGTGTTGCGTACCGTTAGATTTCTAATTAACATTAACATTATGGATGGGGGACAGTCATTGTTAACGATCGCTCGGATCGGTCGTTTCCGTGGCACGCTTATTAATTGGCCTCTGACCTCTGAGATCTGTTTTAGAGAATTATATATAGGATACACACTCGGCTCGAGAAATCGGTAAATGAGGAATGAATTTTCTGGATCATTTCATCCGTGGACTTATTTTACATTACGATACATATTGATCTTACGTAGAAATTTGAATATTATATATTATAATTTATTATAATATATTATATTATATTATATATTATATATTATATTATATATTATATTATATATTATAATATATTATAATATTATTATAATATTATAATGGTTAAAAAGGATAGATGACAAAAACGATCTCGTATTATTCTATAATCGATAAAGTAAAATACTCGAAGTACATAAAATATATTTTATTTTAGTATACATTTAGAATTTCAGAAAATTGAAATTCTCGTATCTTAGATTAATTTTCGTGTTTTTAAAAAAGTTCACGGTGGAAATATTGAAAAGAAAATTTGATCGCGTTTAGCAGTCTATTTTGCTATAGAATAACAATTCTTTTAATTTTGGAACTTGCGAATTAATATTAATTAGAGAATCGAATTTGTGATCGGTTAAAAGTTTTGGCTTGTTTCGATAATATTTAAAATTGAAAATACGTTTCTAAAATTAATTTCTCATACACTTTATTAATGTTCATGTAATTAATATTACTTTTTGTTCACATTTTCAGAGAGAGAGAGAGAGAGAGAGAGAGAGAGAGAGAGAAAGAAAGAAAGAGAGAGAGATTAAATCATTAATTATTAATTTTGCTTAAAAATGTTATTCGAGTAAAAATTGAAAGCTGACCGGAAGGTAAGACGCAGTAAATTCGATACTTGCACTGCCTTTCATCATCGTGAAAAATGACTGTCTGGCCTCTGGATGTTGCGAGAATAAAATATAAGAATAAGAGAAACAAAAACAAAAAAAAAAAGGGAGACAGTGTTACATATACACGCATATGCATGTATATCGCTGTGTTGTGAACAGGAATTTGAATAAAATGAAGGTGCAAAAAAAAAAAAAAAAAAAAGAAAAAAAAAAGAAAAAAGAAACAAAAAATGGAGAAAAAAATCTATATAAGCATAATATATAATATTACGTATAATATATGATAGTAGATTACGAGGAGAAAATAATATGAAATAAACTCTTGCTGGTCGAGAGTTGTAGCGTGTCGATTAGCAGTTTATCTAAAATATATGAAGATGTATCTACCTGCAGCGGTATCGCGTTTTAAACCGTGAGAACAAACAAGAAAACGAGATGAGAGAAAAAGTAAGGAAGAAGAGGGAGTAAGGAAACTAAAGAAATTTATGGTGTTGGGATTTTCGCGTGGGAAGCATGATAAAAAATTTATAGAATAGAAACGAGCGTGCTTTCACGTTTCGTAAAACGTTTTCTTTTCTTTTTTTGATATTAAATAGTAATTTCATTTAAAATTTTAATGATTTAAAATATGGAATATATCGCGTTATTATAGCTCAAGATTGAAGATAATTGTATTCATTTCATTGTACTGCGATTTTTTTAACTGAAATTTTTGTAATTACATTGCGATGAATTTAAGAGATATCCGAGTTCTTTAAAAGATACGAGATAAAAAGAAATATATTTTTACAGATTGAAATATATTTTTGCAAGAAAAATTGATTCGTTTCTAAAAGTACAAAAAGGAGCAAGTGGCAATAAAACGAGAGTATCTTTCACGAGACATATCCGAACATATCGATTAGAGAAGAAAAGAAAAGAAAAAAAAAAAAAAAAAAAAAGAAGCAGTGGAATAAGATGATATTTTTGATTATTCCGAAAATGGATTTCAATCTGCAAAAATAAATTTCACAGGAGGAAGAGAAATATGTGTGGGCGTATAAGTTCGAGAATGCAACTCGGATCGGTACAAAGAATTATATTACAAAATAAAACATTAAGAAAAAGAAAAAAAAATAAGAGATAAAAAAAAGATGTATGTGCTGTAAGAGAATATTATTATGCAAGTTATGCAAGTAAAAAAACTATATATATGATGAATGTTGATATATGATATATTTATGGAAAATTCGTGTTGACAAATAAATTATGTATTAACAGTATTGCATTTTTTTTTAAACATTTTCTCAATTTCTTTATTTTCTTTTATTCGTAGATTTCTAGATATCTCAGATACTCTGTATAAATATATGTATATACGTATGTAAAAAAATAAATTATAATATAAAGAAATACAAAGAATAATACAGATACAAAAAAGAACAGAGATAAAATTTAAAAAATTAGTGCTATTTTCAGAGTGCTGTAAATGAAACATATAAAAAAGGATAGAAAATAATAAAAAATAGAGATAGAATAAGAACATTAATGCCATCTTTGAATGTTAAAAACATTTTTTAAATTCTTTAGAGAAGTATTAATGTCATTTTTTGGATATTTATTAAAGAAATATTCTTACAATTCAAAAGATGGCATTAATCTTAAATTTTTAATATATTCTTTTGAAAAAATATCATTGATATTCAAGATATGACGCTAATGATCGATTCTCATTCTATCTTTATACTTTGTCTATTATTTTCTGTTCTTTCTTTATGTGTTTCATTTGTAGTATTCTGAAAATAATGCTGATTCCGTGAATTTCATAGTCTATTTCATTCAATTTTTATATTTTGCAGATACTTTCGTCTATTTCCCTGTACTTTTTGGAAATATCACAATTTAAAGATTTGATTTTGTAAAAAGTAACTATAAAACAGATAATTATATTAAATTTCATAATTAGTATTAAATAAAATGGTTAAAAAACTTTATTACAAAAAAATAGCAGATTATAAAAGTAAGTATAAAGGTAAGTATTGAATTCTAGAAAAATTTTATGTGTTACCTCCTATTAGATTATATTTTCCTAATAAAAATCCTAAAATTAGAGAGAATTTTTATCTGTAAATTTCAAATTTTACAAAAAATTCTAGTTTAAAATTCCTGGAAATTCTCCAGAATTCTTGGAAATAATATCAAATTCCAGGAATATTCCAAATAAATAGCGAGCGAAAGTTTTGACCAAAAATTCGATTTTATTTTAGGATAGTTATTTGTATGGAACTATACTGCATTGCCATTACATGGAATCTCAATTGTTTTCAATAACCGATTGCATAATATAGTATATCGAATGTTCGAATAGTATTATCTGATATATCATTGTTTTTTAGAAATATTAAAAAATGTTTCGAAATGAAGTTGATAACTTACTTTTTTACCAGTTCATTTAGCTCTTTCAAAACCATTTTTATTCGAAACATTTTTTAATATTATGAAGAATAATATAAGTACATACAAGCCAAAGGTAACTATATCAATTGTTAAATAAAAATTATGTATCATTAATTGTAAATTATATTCAATAAATGTTATTTTTCAATAAATAAATGAGTTTTTTTATTTAAAAAACATTTATTCCTAGCCTATATTCCTTCTAATCCTTTAGATTTATGTAAATTAAGTATATAAGTATTATGTATAAAAAATTAAGTATATTTTTAGTATACATTATTTTAAATTACAAGTACAAGTCCAAATGTAACAAAAACAATTGTTAATTAAAAAATATGTATCATCAATTGTAAATTATATTCAATAAACATTATTTTTCAATAGAGAAATGAGTTTTTTATTTAAAAAACATTTATTCCTAAGCCTATATTCCTCCCAGTCCTTTAGAATTAAGTAAAATGTTAAAAAATGATTCATAAAAACGTTAGAAGTTCGCAAGGTAAGTATGTAAAAGGTAAGTACAAGGTAAGTATAATTTTGAATTGCCTGGGAGTTGAAATTTCGGTTTATTTACATTCTCGGTCTGTTTATTTACATTTTCAACGTTTATTTACATTCTCGGTCTGTTTATTTACATTTTCAATGTTTATTTATATTCTCGGTCTGTTTATTTACATTTTCCAATGTTTATTTACATTCTGGGTTTGTTTATTTACATTTTCAATGTTTATTTACAAAAATTTTCGAAAATTTTGCAAATTTAAGGCCCGGGAGTTGAAATTTCGGTTTGTTTACAAACTTTGATCTGTTTATTTACATTTTTCAATGTTTATTTACATTCTCGGTTTGTTTATTTACATTTCCAATGTTTATTTACATTCTGGGTATGTTTATTTACATTTTCGAAAATTTTCGAAAATTATTTGTAAAATACTTACCTTTACTTACCTCTACTTACCTTTTATTTTATTACTTACCTTTCTCTCAGCTACTTTTTTATTTTTTTATGTTTTTCAACAGTTTTCTTAATTCTAAAGGGTTAAGGAATATAGGAACAGAGGAATATGGATAAGGATTAAAGAATATGATAGGAGCATAGGATCATAGGAATATTCAGGATGGAGAAATATGGATAATAGGAAGATAGGATCACAGGAATATTCGGGATGGAGAAATATGGATAAGAATACAGGAATATACAAGATTAAGGAATATGGATAATAGGAGCATAGGATTACAGGAATATTCAGGATCGAGAAATATGAATAATAGGAATATAGGAACACAGGAATATTCAGAATTAAGGAAAATGGATAATAGGAATATAGGAATATGCATATAGGATTATATAGGAACGTATAGGATTGACGGATATGAATAACAGGAAACTTGGAACATAGGAATATATAGGATAAAGGAATATGAATAATAGAAGTATATATTTTATATACTTACTCTTTTAGTCATCAAAATGACATCAAAATCTTGGAAATTTGAATCTCTAAAATTCTTGGAAATAATGCCAAATTCTAAAAAGAATGAACATACTTGTGATATATAAAATTTGGAAACAATAAATTATGAAACTTTTAATTAATATATTATATAAAAAGACAATACAATTGATCACATATGTGTATCATGAAGCATAAATTTTATTCAATAAATGTATACAAGAAAAACTAGTGGATAAGTATGATAAATATTGTATCATCAACGCCATCTTCAGAGTGCCGCGAATAAAACATATAAAAAGAGAGAAGAGAATAATAAAAAAAGGATAGAAATAAAATAAGAATTGATCGTTACCACCATCTATTGAGTTATTATTAAAAAAATATATTTTTAGCATTCATGAGATGGCACTAGTCTTCAATTCTTAATTTACTTTATCCTTTATCTTTTTACCTTTAAAAAGATATTTTTTGCATTCAGAAGATGGCGTTAGTATTCTATTCTTACCTTATCTCTATCCTTCTCTTCCTATTTTTTATCCTTTCTTCGTATGTTTCTTTTGCGGCACTCTGAAGATGGCGCTGATTTTCTAATTTTTATCCTATATCTGTCCTTGTCTGATTCTTTATATTTCTTTATATCATAAACATACTTCTTCTATATATTATACATGTGCATACGTTTCATACAGGATGTCTGCCAATAATGAACCGCTGAAAAAAAAAAAAACACATGAAAATATAATAGAAACACATAGAAAATATAAAAAGAAAAAAATTAATATAAAACTAATAAACATACCAATTTTTCGCGGATATATTAAGTAGATTATTAAACAAGACGTTGTTCCTTCTCCAACATTCCTCCCTCGATATCCTTAATTCCTCAAAATCCTGCACGATCTTTCAAGTAGATCAATGGATTCAAGGAAATCATTCAAGGAGCATAACGCCACTTGGAATAATTCGAGGTAAAAAAAAAAAAGGAGAGAGGAGGGAGAGGAGAGGGGTACAGGGATTCGTGTCATTCTTCGAGGAACGATATCACCGTAATCCGAGGACGATGATTACACACCGTTTTGCCTTCGTATCCGACGTGTTACCGGTTTCGGGGTCGTGGAACGAAGGGTCCCTTTCATCCAAGTCCTTCTATATAATGGAGCGAGAATCTAGAGCGAACGATGCGCGAGATGGGATTTGAAATCTATCCGCGTGAAATCCGCGCGACGTGCTCGTGGAACAGTGAGGCAGAAACTATCTTCCCTGGATAGATTAATTTAATATTAATACTATATATTCATTGTACTTACATCTTAAATGATCAATAAATTACACAAACGTTTAACTGAAAAAAAGAAAAAAAAATTTTTTTTTCTTTCCATTCCATTCTTTATTCCTCAAATCCAATCGAAATAAATCCTCTCATTTTCCTCGTCTTCCTTTAACCTCTTAATCGCTCGCTATCAAATCTTCAAAAAAAGAAAAAAAAAGTGTATCTTTATTTTTTTTTTTTTTTTTACGTCGAATGATCGAACGAAATCGAACGAGAAAAAATCGGGGGGCGGAAACGAGAGAGGTGAGAAGAGAAAAAGAAACGGGTCAGATTTATCTCGCAAAGCAAACCGCTTCCTCGAAACGGGAGATGAGGGAGGAGGAGGAGGAGGAGGAGGAGGAGGAGGAGGAGGAGAAGGAGGCGGAGGAGGAAGAGGAGGAAGAGGAAGAGGATCGGTGGTTGATTTAGTGTTCGGCGCGGTGAAGGCGCGGTGGAAAATGCTTTGGAACAGGGAGAAATAAATGTTCTTAAGAATCGCGCCGATAAATAACGGTTTATTAACGTACTAATGCCTCGCGCGAAATTAACGGGAGTCGTGGCAAACGAGAGGAGGGAGGGGGAAGCTGTCGGCTTCCGGGGAGGGGGTTCGGTTGCAACGAAGGAGGGGAGGGGAGAGAGAGGGAACTTCGAGTCTTAAATGAACGAAGCCGCACGCTGCGGTTCTAATTAAAACAAACACGATTATAAGTTTCAGCTTGAATTTATAATCGTCCCTGCACGTCACACTATGTCTCCCTTCTCCCTTCCTCCTCCTCAACCCCTTCTTCGACGCGAGCCCATGAGTCTCTCCCTTAACGAGTTTGCAATGATCTCAGTCTCAGGAGAGATTTTTGGAGAAGAGATTTTTTTTTTCAGATATTTATATATTTATTGCACTGTAATTCGTAACGTTGATCTCTTTTCGTCGCGTGATCAAGGGAAATAATATTATTTATCAAAGATTCTTTGGCCAAGTTTAAGAACGGAAAAGATACTTCCCTTTCAAATAAAAATTCTTGGAAATTTCTTTCGAGAACGAGGAGGAACGATTGGTTCTTCGTCTCCTCTCGTTTAAAATGCAAATACAAAGTTTAATCGGGCTCGGTAGCAAGAAATACGGATATTAGACGCGATGAAATTGCAGTTATATTTCCGTTTTACCGATAGAGAATGCGCAGAGAATTGAGTCGTCGGAGGTGGTTATCGCGTGTAGATAAATATCCTATTTAATTGGAATTCTCTATCCTTCACGTTATCTCGATCCTCCCCACCCCCAGTCTCTGGAAGACTGCTTTTCAATTGATGATACACGTGTCCACGTACGCAACCACGTTCACGCTGCGATCCACCCTTTGTTGCAAAATTGTTGCTCCTCTATAACAACTTGTCGAGAAGTTTATTTTTTTCCATCCTCGATAATCTTATTTCTATCGTCATTAGATACGGATATTTATACGTTCGTGGAAAAAAAAAATATTATATTCAAATATTATATTCGAAAGGAAATTCTTAAACTGTTAAATTGAATGAAAATACGATGTATATGATCCATGTGCATTTTTCGTTAATTCTTTCTCTTTTTATTTCCCTCTTCTTTTCTTTTAAAAACTCATCTCCATAAAAATATCAGAAATTTGCATTAGCAGTAAGCTCTCCGTCGATACAGTTCGTGATCTTCTCATCGACGAACGATGATCCAAGTATATTCGTTTAATCGGATCCTACGACGAATTATAATATTTTTAAAAAGAATCTAATGGGCGAGGAACGCGATCCGGATATCAACGGAGGCCGCTACCGAGGGGCAGGAACGATCCTACGATTATATCGATGTTTAGGCACCCGCTGGGTGATCCGTCTAATCCGGATTTAAGCTCGCATGCATGGAGCGCGAGGCCGCCGCGCCGGTGCACTCGGCCGCGTCCACGTGCGTATCTTCCCTCTCGATCGAGCGTCTCCTCGTTGAATTTTCGACCGAATACTCGATACAAATGCCCTCCCGTTTATTTCCCCAAAAATCCTTTCGTACTCCTCCCCTGCTCACTTTTCACTTGTGATTTGTCCATGCCACGATAGAAAGGAAGAAGAAAGGAAGGAAGAAAGGAAGAGGAAAAATTATTTTCTCCATGTTCCATGCGTCCCATTATTATTTAAGAAAATTTTTTCCCTGATTACTTCTTAAATTTATCAAGTTCGATCATTCGTCGAAAAACACCAATTTCAATTCTCAAAAAAAAAAAAAAAGAAAAACAGATTTGGTCAACGAGATGACCGCGATGATAATTTCTCGTCCTTTCCTCCTCTTCCTGCTCAACTTTTCACTTGTAATTTGTCCTCGATGTCACGATAGAAATTTGGAGGAAGAAAGGAAGGGGAAAAATTATTTTCTCCATGTTCCATGCGTCCCATTATTGTTTAAGAAAATTTTTTCCCTGCTTAAATTTGTCAAGTTCGATCATTCGTCGAAAAACACACCAATTTCAATTCTCAAAAAAAAGAAAAAAAGATTTGGTCAACGAGATGACCGCGATGATAATTTCTCGTCCTTTCTTCCTCCTCCTGCTCAACTTTTTACTTGTGATTCGTCCTCGATGTTATGGAAATTTATATAGAAATTTGGAGGAAGAAAGGAAGGGAAAAATTATTTTCTCCGTTCTTCCATCATTCCATCGTTATTTAAGAAAATTTTTTACTTTACCTGATTACTTCTTAAATTTGTTAAGTTCGCCGAACAACACATTTCCAATTTCAATTCTCAAAAGAAAAAAAAGAAAAAAAGATTTGGTCAACGAGATGACCGCGATGATAATTTCTTGTCCTCTTTTCCCCTCCTTGTTTTGAATCACATCTTTAGTCCAGGAAGGGGTATCGGTTGATAAAGGTAGGAGCAGTTTTAATTACAATCTTATTATCGCGGAACGAAGTTGGTCCAGCCATGCATCACCGCATAACAGACAAGAGTTACAACAACTGTTAATTTGATTTATTAATTTATCGTCCCCCCGCCTGTGGAAAGCGGAGGGGTTGCTCCTTTTTTTCTCTTTTTTTCTTTTTAATTATTCCTTTAATTAAAAATCCGGTTTCGAGATTAACCGTTTCTTTCTTTTCGCAACCCTTTTTCGGGTTCCTTCGCCATCCCTTGGCAATCTTTTCTCGTCGAGTGAGACGCTTCTCGTCTCGCACTGACGCGAATTTTGCTACTAATCGGGTTTAACGATGCGAAAGGGATAAACCGAATTAAACGTAGGTTCGAAGGTTCGAGCATTTGTTCCTTTCCCTCCTCCCCTTCCTCCTTCCGATTCTTTATCATGGCGGCGATCTGCAAAGAGTTTAAAAGAAGAATGTACAAGCAAGAAGGTATAATAACGCGAGGAATGGAACGAAAGAGTATTAAAGTATTGTAAGTATACAAAGAGGATTTTAGTTAGAGATCTATTTTGGATGATCAGTTTAGATAAATAATGGAATCTTAACCTGTTGTAATTCTTTCTGACTAATTGAAATAGTATTTGAAATATTTCTAAGTTGACAGTGGTACTGTTTACCTGTTAACCCATTACAAACTGTAAATAACACGCGGATAATAACTGTTTTATTTTTCGGATAATCTTCTTATTTTTAAACTGGCTCGAAATATTTTTTAATCGAATCGATCGTGTATCGATTAATTTTTTCCCTTATTTTTCTGTAATTATCATCATAACCATATCATATCCAATTACATATCACTTTCTTCCAATAATACAACTTCCAATAATACTAGTTAATGCTATTAACGATTATTAAATTTCATTCAACTTAGAGAAAATTATTGTCAATCCAATAAACCTGAAGAAAGATATTCGTGTCTCGTCATCGACACCCCTCCAACGATATATCCAATATACCCCCAATAACGTTCTTCCATCATTCTATTCTAGAGAAGGAAGGGTTGTTAATGTTAACGCGGTTAAGTGCGAGGAAGCTTTAATTGGATACGATACGGATAGGTCGGTTGCAATTCGATTTTCCTTGACGCTTCCATCACACCCACGCGTCGAGGTTAATTGTTTCGACCTCGTTGCTCGTCCAACGCCAACTTTTGCCGCAATATACGCTTAATAATCTTAACCCCCAACATCTAGATAAGCTTGTTATCGGCTACAAGATCGAGTTCGCGGGGGATATGTATATACTCGATTGCCGTTCGATGGACGCTTCGACGCGGTGGGGGTGATTTAGGACCCTCCTCCCCCGTGGATGGAGAGGGGAGGGGAGGATCAAGAAGCCCGCATAAAATTTCGGGAGATTGTTTTGGAAATAGAATTATAGGAAGCTGGTTATGAATTATTCAATGTTTTATTCTTTTTATAACGTAACGTGGTTGATAGAGGTTTTTGAAGCGTGCTCCTGCAGATGGTAGGCTTCTTGTTTAATTTATTGCTACTTGTAATGCTGATGTAAACAAATTAGCATTGAATTTGGAAATAATGAAGATAAAAACGAATAAAATAAATGGATGATTTAAACGGAACCGAAGTGGAATAGGGGATGTTGAATTCTCGATTAGGTTATCCCTTTTTCTCGAGTAATCTCAATCACGAGACAAAATTTTCTTGAGAAAGATACATCCGCAAGATGAGTTAACGAGTTTGTTTTGCACACGGGGAATTTCGCCGTGGGATCGTCGTTTTCGATTGGATTGGTCGATTACCGTTGGGGGAGCAAAAAACGTTCGTGGAGGAAAAAACAATAGAAGCAAACGAAGCGAAACTTTCTTTCCCTCGAAACGATCGAGCGGGAAAATTGGCTCGTGTCGAGTCGAGAACGAAAAGAAATCACGCTTGCTTATCGAGAAATTATACAAAATTATCCGCAAAATTCTTCTACCACGATTAAAGACGCAAGATAAAATTCCAAGACCAAAAAAAAAAAAAAAAAAGATAAATTCGTTCGAACAATCGTGAATCGATCATTTCGCGAGAAATATCTCGCGAATGAATTAAGAGCGTGTCGACGCGCTTTGCTGCGGTTGCGAAGGCAAAGGGTCAGCCCTTCAAAACAAACGTGTAATTTACCAGTGGCTGGTAACCTCCTTTAACCGGGGGCCAACCTTCGTAACCTTCGTATAATACCTTCGAGGGAGGGTAATGGGTCGAGAAGGAAGAAGCCCCCGAGGATTATGATGAGGTTATACTTTAGTAGGCGGAGAGGAACTCCCGTTTAAGCAGTAATTAAGTCCCGCCACGCCTTCGGTCACGCTTCTCCCGACCCGCGAAACGATGGTCGAGCATGTTCCGTAAATTATCACCGATTTGGATTCCAAACTTGGATTTAAATGAAGAAAAAATATTCCTCTCCAAACGTTCTCTTCTGTTACTCGTGTTTCGACATTATATAAATTTTTCCAGTCTCCAATCCCGTGAAACACTATTGGAACTCGCCCTCCAATCGACTCTTCCTTCCATCCACCACCGAAACCGATATAACGTAGATATTTCCAAGAATCTCGAGCGATAGAGGACCGTCGAACGATTTCTCGAAACTGTATCAACCAACCAGGCATTCCGAGTAATAACAAATTTATAATTCGGCGTGCAGGCCAACAAATTACTCGCGTCAACACACGCGGACGGTAGGCAGAGACGCGGGATGGAAGAAGAAGAGGAAGAAGAAGAAGAAGAAGAAGAAGAAGAAAAGGAGGAGGGGGAGGAAGAAGGTGGAGGATCGGGGGTGGTGGCCGGTTCGATCGTATAAATCTCACGTATTCAACGGCGTGGCACGCCATGACGGCCTCTAACGATATATTCTGATATAATTAAAACAATAAATAAGATGGCGCCCAACCGAGAGCAACGGGGGTCGAACTCTAGCTACGTTTTCTCTGCCTTCCACGTCGTGGAACCCCCTCTTCCTTTCTCTCTCTCCTTCTAGCTATCTCTCTCCGTGTGAATCCCGTGTGCCCGCGCTTTCCAGAAATTAAATTCTATTCATTTAATCGAATACAACTGGAGCATTTCCCCGACGACGATGAGCGAAATTACGATTCGTTTCAGCTTCCCTAATTGCGAACGCCAAAAGCGAGCGAGCGATAGAGAAAGAAAAAAAGAGAGAGAGAGAGAGAGAGAAGAAAACCTTCGTCTCTTTATCTCTCTAAATTTTAACGCATATCAGATAATAATCTCTGCGATTTATCTCGTAATTTCGTGGAATTAATCGAAAAAAAAAAACACGCATTCCCGTTTGACGTTTCACGAGCAAACAAGCCCAACCACCCTGAATAAAGAAATAAAAAGTGTAATACAAAAGACAACCGAATGTAGCCAAAGGGACTACTACACATGTAGCATAGGAGATTCGTTGTAAGAGCAACACGGGGCCGCGTGTTCATTGAGTTTCAACCCCTTGAGAGATCCTTTCTTTTTTTTTCTTTTTTCTTTTTTTTTTTTTTTTTTCCTCCCGACCACCATTATTTTTCCAAGAGGAGCAGGCGGCGTCTGGGCGCGCGTCCGCCGGTATGTCTGGAATCTTTGCCCGGCCAACTCGTTCGCCACGGCGAAACAGTTGTCCTCTCATCCAGTTTCAGCTTCCTTTTTATCGGGCGCATCATCGTTTGAAAAAACGTCTCTCTTTCGTCGTTCCTTCCCTCAAAATCGTCTCTCGTTAAAAAAGAAGAAGAAAAAGAAGAAGAGGAGGAGGAGGAGGAGGATGGGGTGGAAGGGAGGGAGGATTTCGAGGATGGGGGAAGAGAAGGGAAATAAAGAATCGATGAATCGGTGGACGGTGGTTTCGAAGAGAGAGAAATACATTTGGACGATACTTTGCCCGTTCCGTTACCACGCGACCAAAGGAGATTCCTATCTGGGTCTTGATAAATTACTGTCCCTACACGGGCCCACCTTCCATCCTCGAAACGTTTCGTAGTTTCTCCCTCCTCCAAGATCCGAGAGTTCCTCTTCTCGCGCGCCCTTCCAGCACCACCCTTATAATATTAATTTGCCCCACCATTGTCCACCATTTTATTACTCACATATCTTACGAACGCTTCTTCGTTTTTATTTCCCTCCGTTCCGGATATATCGCTCTTCGTCGTTTATTCGATCCTGCTCCCTTGCGTCCACCACTCAGGTGTTTCGGCGAGGAATCTTGCGCTTGGATTCAAAAAAAAAAAAAAAAAGAAAAGGATATTTTCATGCGCTTTTTTCCGCAAAATTTCATCGTCGATTCGAATTCTTCCCTATTATTAATTTCGGCGATGAATATCGAATAAGTTTTAAGAATTACATCGTATTTCCGTCATCCAATCTTTAAATTTTATATCGAACAAAAATATAAAGAGAACTTTTTGTCTCTTCGTCAAACGAAAGATTTAAAAATACAAGATAAAATAAATTTCCATCGTTCATTTCTTAAAGGCTCCATTAATCTTTTGACAAGACTTTTGGCGATCCTTTCTCCAAACTCCTTTTTTTCTCTCAACAATACGCGTTCCAAATGATCGCAGATCTCTTTAACCAGTCGTAGGCGTGTCGAGCACCGTTAAAGAATCCGCACGAAAGGGTTAATTAGATGAAGCTACGATGACTCGACGAAAAGTCGATCCCAAGTGGAAAAGTAGTAGACTCGATCCTCTCTCGAGATTTCCCAAACTCGGTTGGTCGAGTTATCGGTCGCGGGTGTGGGCCACGAAAGAAATTCTTCGCTCTCGTATACTCGAGAGACTCGACCATGGCAAATCGTGGCGATTGTCCGGTCCGTGGAAGAATTTGTCATCGAGCCTGTTCCGAGTGGAGGCGTGGCTGGTGGTGACGATGGTGGTTGGTCTTCCTCCTTTTCAGCTTTCCCTAGTTTTGCATTCTCGATGAAAAATAGCGATTCGCCCGGTAGATTCAGCAACAGGTAGTCGACTGTCGATGCTGCCTCCTCCGCGCAGGAAACTGCTTTTGATTTACGGATCGGAAGCATGCAAATTCTCCGGCAAAACTTTCTTGTTCTTATTTCGATCCGATCGGAAATTTTCACGAAGATACAAACGCGTCTTGATTTTTTTAAAAAATAATAAAAGCATCAAGGAAGGAAGGTCAATTAATTTCAATGAAATCGAAAAGTATCTTTGATTATCGTCGCTTTCAAGTAAATTTCTTAATCTCATTTCATGTAAAAATTTCACCCAAGTGAATCAACTTTTCATTGCGAATAACAATAGGGAGAAAATTAAGGGAGGAAACATTCGAGGGAGGAATCTAATCAATCGATGTTTTAATTAACATACGAACAACGCGTGGAAGAAGAAAGGAGGGTTGGTTGGATCTCTTTGAAGCGTGCATATCGCCGACGAAA